CGCGAGTGACCTGCTGCTCACGTCGAAATTTGGACATTACATAAATTCACAGTCTCCTATATACTCAATCTGCGGACAGCATGCTGTTTCGTTCTTTTTGAACTCATCAGCGCAACAGTCTCCTATATAAATACGTATCCTGTTCGACGGCAAAAGAGGCTGCAGATTTAGTTTTTCTGCGCGTCGACGGGAGGTCTGTCCTGACGTTTACTGGGACCGGCGCTGATTCTGCCGATCACGGGCGTTCTGGACTCGACGAGATGTCTGTCCTGACGTTTCCTGGGATCGGCGTAGACTCTGCCGATCACGGGCGTTCTGGACTCAAAGGGATGTCTGTCCTGACGTTGCCTGGTACCGGCGGACTCTGCCGATCACGGGCGTTCTGGAGTCGACGGGATCTCTCTTCCGACGTTTCCTGTGACCGGCGCTGAATCGCTCGTTCACGCTTATTTTGGAGACGACGGGATCTCTCTTCCAAAGTATGTTTATGCTGACGCATCCTATCACCTAATCGGCGTCTATTCTAATTTAATTTCCTCTTCGTCTCCCTATTTCTTTCCAAATCTCCCTCTACATCAGGGAGTCGTATATATAATACGACGAATATTGGTACGGTACGGGACAGATACAGGAGCCCGCAAATATTGTGGACAGCTGTTATGTACAATCCTGTAGAGCCTTTGTAGTCACAGATATGGGACAGATACGGGACAGATACGGGATAGCTCCAGCCGTGACACAAACAAACAAACAAACAAACAAACACCAAATTAAAGCTGTGTGGACCCTGGCTAGCGCCAGACGTTACTGAAGTAACGTCTTCTGCATTGCTACGGGAATAAATGATTGTGTCGTGTGCGGAATACGGAGCCAAGCTCTTTGTAAAGTACTGCGGAAAAAATCTCACCCTGAAAACTGCGATAGAGAAGGCCAGTAGTCTGGAAGTGGCAACGCACGATGCCTCGGAGCTCGCAGGAAGTGTACCCGCTGCTGGGGTACATGCTGTGGAAAGGCCACAACATCGTAGTGCAGCTGCTGGCAAGCAAAGTCAAAGTCAATCCAGTGTGCACCAATCGTCCTGTTTCCGCTGCTGATCAGAAGCACACCACCCACGTGAGTGCCCATACAAGTCCTATGAGTGTCGACACTGCAGGAAACGGGTCACCTTTGCAAGGTTTGTAAACAGCGTTTCGCAGGAAAGTCGAAGTATGCATCGAAAGGAAGTCCGAGTGGCCGCGGTGCGTGCCATAACTTGCCTGTCTCAGATGATGATGACTTCGACACACTTGCAATTTTGACGGCCGATGTCTTGCAAGCACCAGCAGCAGCTGAGGATAAGTCATCGGCATCCAGTGTACGGAAAGCCCTGTGGATCGATGCAACTGTCAATGGCGCCAGTCCATACGCATGCAGATTGACACAGGAGCTGCAGTGTCTATTATTTCCACTAGCTTCTATAAGAAGTTGCTGTCCAGTACCTCGCCACTTACCCAGAGTAAGTTGAAGTTGCGAACATACACTGGAGAACCTGTACGGCCTCGCGGAACGTTTGAGGCGCTCGTGGAGTACAACCACCAGTCGGCAGAGTTGCCGATTCATGTAGTGGACACATCGGGTCCTCCGCTATGTAGCCGAGATCTGCTGGCCCATATTGCTCTTGACTGGCATCGTTTGTTCCAGGTCGAGACTAAGGAGCCCCCCCCCCCCCCCCAGTGTAACTGCGTCCTCTAGCTCGCTGCCCACAGGACCAGCCGGTAAGCGCCTAGAGCAGCTGAAGGAGAAATTCTCCGACGTTTTCAGTGACGACTTTGGCAAGCTGAAGGACGCCAAGGCTCGCCTACAGCTCAAAGATGGTGCACGTCCACGGTTCCTCAAGGTTCGCCCGCTGCCCTACGCTATGCGGCCTAAGGTGGAAGCCGAACTGGACAGGTTAGAGAACCTTGGTATTGTTAGCAAGGTCCAGTGGAGCGAGTGGGCAACCCCAATTGTGACAGTTATCAAGCCCAATGGCTCAGTGCGTCTCTGTGGCGATTTCAAGGCCACATTGAACCCGCAACTGAAGGTGGATCAACACCCTCTTCCACGTGTAGAAGATGTGTTCGCCACTCTGGCTGGAGGACAATGCTTCACCAACATCGATTTGAAACAAGTGTACCTCCAGATGGACATGGAGGAGGAATCGAAGCCACTTCTCACACTGACAACGCACAAGGGCTTGTATCAGCTCAACCGTCTCGGGTTTGGTGTGGCTTCCGCACCAGCGCTGTGGCAGCCGGCCATCGACCGCACCCTGCATGGCGTTCCACATCAGGCCTGCCTGCTAGATGACATCATCGTCACCGGTCGCGACGACGATGAACATTTGGAAAACTTGGAGAGCATCTTGGGTTGTCTCTCCGACCACGGCCTGAGAGTCAATCCAGCGAAGTGCACGTTCTTCTCAGATGCAGTGGAGTACTGTGGTCACATTGTCAGTCGCCACGGTTTGCGCAAGACTGATGACAAGATCAAGGCGATCAATGAGGCCCTGGCACCACAGAACGTGTCCCAGCTGCGCAGCTTTCTGGGTATGGTATGCTACTACCAGCGCTTCTTGAAGGACTGCTCCACGACTCTGCACCCTCTCAACCGCCTGCTCCGAAAGGGTCAGTCCTGGCATTGGACAGCTGACTGTGCAGCAGCATTCAAGACCATCAAGGCAGCTATCGCCTCGGATCAGGTACTCATGCATTTTGATCCCGACCTGCCGGTACAGTTGGCAACTGACGCACCACCCTACGGCCTGGGAGCGGTGCTCTCGCATATTCTGCCGGATGGTACGAAACAGCCGATTGCCTTCGCGTCACGTTCGCTTACCGAGACCGAGAAGCGGTATGCCCAAATAGATAAAGAGGTCTTATCTATCGTCTGGGGGGTCCGTAAGTTTCACACGTATCTGTTCGGACGATCGTTTGTGCTGCTGACAGACCACGAGCTTCTGACAGCCATTTTCAGTCCGAGCAAAGGATTGCCAGCTCTGACGACAGCGCGTCTACAGCGGTATGCCATATTCCTGGCCAGTATGAGTTACCAGATCAAGTATCGCAAGTCAGGTGATCATGGAAATGCTGACGGCTTATCACGACTGCCCTTGCCGCACACGCAAGAGGAGAGCCTGGACTGGGCAGAAGGATTCAACATGGCCCAGATTGAGCCACTTCAAGTGACAGCCGTGGAAGTCGCTCGCCACACCGCTCGTGTGCCAGTCTTGGCCAAGGTCCTAGCTGGTGTTCGTGACGGGTGGTCACACTCCTCAACTGACGGTGACATGCAGCCATTTGCGAGGCGCAAGAATGAGCTGGGACTGCACCAAGGATGTCTTATGTGGGGAATCCGGGTTGTCATCCCACCCTTACTACGCAAGCGAGTACTCGAGGAACTGCACACAGGCCATCCAGGCATGGTTCGGATGAAGGCATTGGCCCGTAGCTTCGTTTGGTGGCCAGGCATCGACGCTGACATCGAGACAACCGGCAAGGTCTGTGCTGGCTGCCAGACACACCTGGCAGCACCACCAAAGTCACCCCTCCATCCCTGGGAGTGGCCGTCCAAGCCATGGCAACGCGTCCACATTGACTTTGCAGGACCGTTCCAAGGGCACGTGTGGCTGATCGTGGTGGATGCCCACAGCAAGTGGCCGGAAGTTCTGCCAATGAACAGCACCACAGCTCCGGTCACCGTTCGCCGTCTCCGGGAAGTGTTCGCCCAGCATGGTTTGCCTCACCAGATCGTCAGTGATAATGGCCCGCAGTTCACATCCGATGAGTTCCGTCGTTTCGCTGAAGCCAACGGCATTACGCACACCTTCTCAGCACCGTACAACCCAGCGACGAATGGGTTGGCCGAACGATTCGTGCGTACGATGAAGCAGGCACTCAGGTCCCATTCGGACACAGCACCGCTCGAGTTCTTGCCTCGCTTCCTGTTGTCGAATCGCACCACACCACATGCAACAACGAATGCCACACCAGTTTCTTTGCTGATGCATCTTGAGCTATGCACTCGGTTGTCCTTGGTCTAGCCCAGTGTTCAGGCATCTGTGGCCAAGAAACAAGCAGCGCAGAGTAGTGCAAGGTCAGCAAACCGTGCGCGCACGTTTGCTGTGGATGACACAGTCATGGTACGTGACTACCGCACCAACGCACCACACCCGTGGATTCAGGACACCGTGCAAGCGGTACACGGCTCCCGCCACTATACTGTGGAAGTTGGCGCAGACCAGCAATGGAGGCGCCATGTGGAACGGCTCTGGTCAGTCGTTTCCGCTCCACAGTCATTCGTACCAATGAGCGCAGCGCCTTTGCCGTCCGTCGCAGCACCGGCAGAGCCTGATCACAGTTTGTGTTTTCCCGCTGCTCATTCGCCAACTTGTGTTCCGCCACCACCCAGTGTTGAAGCCGCTGCTATTCCAACACCTACACCTGTGCAAGCAACAGTACCGGCAACTACTGCAGCGCAGCAGACCCAGCCGCCACCGGCACAGGCTCCAACTGAGCCCCGTCGTAACCCGGCAAGAACTCGAGTTCTGCCAGCTCGCCTGAGAGAGTAAAACATTCTCCTCCATACTCTGATAATCTGTTGCTCGCAAGGTTACTGAATTACTGTGCTCTCGGCTTATCCATTTGACTTTCTCTTGTGTATTAAATGTATATACGCGTTTGCAACCCTACTATACATGTAGGGGAGGAAATGTAGTGCATGATTGTGCTGATGATACACTCATGGACATTTCTTACGTCATCATTATCGTATTGACGTCACACCATGCGCAGATCATTTTAGTATGTCTGCCTTTTGTATTGACACACGTGTCTCCTTGTTCTTGTTCCGTTGACATAATTTACTTGCAATTGTAGTTGGTCTTCTTCTAGTCTCCATGTAATCGATCATAGAGTAAACCGAACCCCGCCTCTAGCTGAGACACTACACACCCCTCCGAATGTCAACTAGGCAAAACTCACCTGAATAAGTACGAAGTGCTGGCATAGTTGATTTGGTTGCGGTTGTTCCTGGTTCCAGCTTTGCTGTTGCTCGAGGTGCCCATGTTGCTGCTGCTATTGGTGCTACTGCTCCTTCTGCTGCTGCTGCTGCTGCTGCTGCTGCTATTGGTGCTACTGCTCCTGCTGCTGCTGGTGCTGGTGCTACTTCTGCTGGCAATGGACTTGTTGCAGTCGGGCTGGATGGATACACTGCAAATCCTGCTGACGCAGCTGCTGCTGTTGTTTCTTCCTTAGTTGGCATAGTTACAGGTGGGTCTGCTCTGACTGCTGTGACCTGGACGGATTCCGGTTGCTCAATATCAACACTGGAGAGCAATTCTGGTCATGTGACAAAATGAATACAAAAAAACGAAGAAAGAAAACCGCAACAATCATGACAATGCCATAATCCCAAGCTTCGGAGAGCTCACTGGCATCGCCAGGACTTGAAGCAGGGAACCCTGCCCTTGCACTAGTGTTTTCAGCATTTCCTTGATACCAATGTCTGCCCCGATACCAGTGTCTTCCCTAACCCATACAATTATCTTCATGGTGAGAAAGGAAAGACGTAACGGCGTACTTCAAGTTGCTAGGTAGCCACCATCACCTGCTACCTGGAGACTTGGATCGCTTGAAAAAGAAATATCCTGAATTGAACGAGTCTTCTTCAGCCTGTTGTCAAGTGCTATTGGGACTGAGTCTGCTTCAAACTCTGACGAAGATGCCGACCTCAGCTGCAGGAGCAGTGCAGCAGAAGGCCACATTTCAAGCAATTGTGAATGCCTTGTGCCATACTGTAGGGTTCAACAGGGTCATGGTGGTGACTGCCATTGAGGTACTCGGCAAAAAAACCGCACCACCTATATGTACAACGGGTTCGCAGCGCGTTCGATTGGGGAACCGTTTGTCGCAGCTTCTTCGGACCAACACCATTCGACTCGGCGTTACAAACACTACGTTCCCTGTAATTTTCAGCTCGACAAATCTTGATGTGTTCCGCATGGAATAGTCCAGACTCGTGTATGCTACAACGATGAGTCCACAACCGTGACAAGTGACAGAACAGCAAACAGCTCCCGGACCTAAACTTTCAGATCCTGTGATGTTGTGAGCCTTGAATCGTAGACTTGCGACCGTGGTTCAAAAAGCCTGCACTGTCTGTAAATCGAGCAGCGTCCGAAATACGCCAAGTGTTAGTTTGCACCAAAAATCCCTATGTGGCAGGCCACTGGAGTCCAAGCGAGTCGGCATTGAACACCAATCAGAGCCCTCGCATTACTTTTCTACATTTTGACGACTCTGCTCTCCAGATATCTGATAATTATATCAGCCTCGTCTGCAATAGCTGCTGCTTCTGCAGTCGCAACCGCGGCAGCGCTCACTCTTGACCGGCCCGCGCGGCCATTTATTCTGCAGAATACCGAAATTTTCAGCCCCAGACAGAACTCATGAAGGTTGGCCATGGCTGCATCCTCACTCTCACATGGAGTCACGTCGTCGGGGTCGCTTGCAGCACCTACTGTCGGTCACCAAATCATTTGAAATAGCATTGCCACTATTGCTTTCAAGCACTCCTTTTGACTTAGCTCCACTCTATGACGTTGCAGAGAGGGGGGGGGGGGGGGGGGTCGACTGTCGGGGCCGCATGATGTCATGGTGCCACACCCGAACCTCAATTTTTCAAACGGAAATATCTCAAGAATGCTTTGTCGGAGATATGTGGGACTAACACCCCAAACTATATGGACACTGAAATTTAAATATTCACCGGACTTCCCCTTTTTAACCCTTTACCCGTCTACCATAAACGTACCGATACTATAGTATCGGTATGTTTGGCCCTCATTTTGGGTTTTTGTTGCGAGGAGACAAGGTGTGTGTGTGTGTGTGTGTGCATGCGTGTGTGCGTGTGTCAGCCAGTTCAGCTGTTGTGTGCACTTATTCCAAAATAAGGTATTGGTATATGCATCATGATCAGCACCTGGCCAACAACTGGAAAAGGACACAAACACTCACCGTTCATGATGAACTTTCCCAGAAAGTCGATGAATTCATTGTCATGCTCGTGTCTCTCTACCAAGGACTTGAGCTGGGATTGAGCGAGATTTAAATTTGGGAGGTCCGTATCAGTAAGCCCTTTCGAAAACAATGCAGAGAACAGCCGACGGACAGGCTGTATCCCTGTGACAATAAAACAAGAATAAATCAAAGAGGACATATGTGCAGGAGCGAGTGGTCTTGTTCACATTCAACCATGCACCAGCAAGCCAAAATCACCCAGCCTCATCTCCCCTCATCAGTGAGAGAGAGTGTGTGTGTGTGTTTGTTTCTGGCGACGGGCATGCCTGGCGCTATCCTGTACACGTCCGGTATTGTACCATCAAAGACAGCTGGCCACCTTATTCAAATAGGGCTTTCAACGGCAGCATCATTGTTGTAACTCGCTTTCTCTTCCTGCTCCCAGTTCCGTGCCATCTCCACACTTGTACAAATGGACGACGATAGCTACATTTAGAAGACTGTTTATTGACACGACGACGAAACACAACTATACATGACGAACTCAAGACGAAGACACGATAAACTCAAGACGAAGACATCATGAACTCGAGACGAAGACAACTTTTCATACCACAGCAACACGCGCATGCACCAACATGACGTACACACGACGTACACAAAATAACGTACTACAACATAACTCCCTCCCAAGAGTAGAATCGTCCTCGATTCTAATAATAAAACAGAGTAAAAAGAGGAAAAGATCACACAAATCACTCAATCATACCACACCAGTCACACCCAGAAATAAAACACCTCTGCCTGCACTGCAGATTATTAAAAACTCTGTCCGCCCACCCAGAACACCAGCCACGATCGCTGTCACACGTGTAGGAACTGATAACCTCAAAAACTCTACTTCACACAACACATCACCTCACGACCACGCAGAAATTCTAAAAATGTGAGAGCACAAATCATAGGAATAACAAAAAGAACAAAATCCACTGGCTCTGTGGGGGCCTCTAGTTATCCTCATAGAAGAGCAAATCAAAAAACGAACAGAACACACGCGCTGTGCGGGCGCCTCTTTACCCTCGAGGAGAGCAAATAATAAAGAACAAAATGTCGGGAGAACAGAAAATACACAACTCACATTCTCATCACGTTCACAACACACGTACCCTCTCACCAACGAAACTCCTCACGCCGTCTGCCATGTCGTCCACCATCTCCAGGAGCGCTGCTCAGCGTCCACATCCTCACACTGCAGCCTTCACCTTCCATCCTTCTTTTTTTTCTGTTTCAGTTTTTCTTCTGGGCACAGTTTTACGTCGTGTCCGGGACCATCCATCCTTCTTTTTCTTTTCTTTTTAGCTTTTCTTCTGGGCACAGTTTTACGTCGTGTCCGGGACCACCAGTGACGACGACTGCCAAGAGACGGGAGAGACGAATGATGAAGGACGAGGACGACGGACGAACTTCTTCAAGACGGACAAAACTGTGACGATAGGACGACTGGAGATGACATCGGAAACTGGGAGCGAAGGCCACGCAGGACGAATCCAGAAGTTGAAGTGTACAACAATTTCCATTACCGCTGCCACCAATGTTGTAACTCGCTTTCTCTTCCTGCTCCCAGTTCCGTGCCATCTCCACACTTGTACAAATGGACGACGATAGCTACATTTAGAAGACTGTTTATTGACACGACGACGAAACACAACTATACATGACGAACTCAAGACGAAGACACGATAAACTCAAGACGAAGACATCATGAACTCGAGACGAAGACAACTTTTCATACCACAGCAACACGCGCATGCACCAACATGACGTACACACGACGTACACAAAATAACGTACTACAACATCATAACATGATGCAACTTGGAAGTGTATATGTATATGCAAAGTGTATCGGGGGAATGCTTGCTAAGCGTTAGTGCGGGTTCAAATCCCATGCTATGTATTGAAAACAATAGGAAAAATGAAAAATTAAGCTAGCACCATAGCGTAATATAACCAGTTATTAACCACTAGCTTGGTAGAATGTAATTGTCGGGGAGGTAGAGTTTTGAGTAATGTATTTATTTGTGTTGATGAGCTAAAGTTTCATTTTTTAATACGATAATCGGGCACATGTTTTTGTATAGGCCGTCGAAGTCTGACGTCACTGCTTCTTGACAACGCGAAGTTACTTGGCCAAGTGGTGATAAACCTGCGCTTGTCGTGTTTCCAGTGGCAGCAGCATGCAGTGAACACAGCTACAGTCAAACTTCGAGCGCTCATCACGGCATTCTTTATAATTATGCGCGACCCACGCTTTTTTGACACGTACGTCACGATGACTATCTCAGCAACCTGGCTGCAAATTTTGAGCCAAGCACAACCGGGTTTGACGTCTGAAATCAGCGCTTCGCTAAGACTTGTCAAATATAGGTCAAATTCGACCTATGGACCCTTAAAAGTTCACTTCGGTGAGTATGTAGACCGTTTTGTAGACCGTTTGAAACTTGTGAGATGTGACAGAACCCTTGCAGCTAGATGAAGAGTTTGATGTTTGGTGTGCTTTGACCACCATTTTACAGACTAGACAGAAAGCAAAGTGGAGTGATAACTTAAAACCACCAAAGTAAGTGATAAGGCAAAGCCCATCCTACCTGTATTGTCAAGCCAAGGCACATCCGGACTGACCCGCAAGTCGAAGAAGTCCAGACTGCCGACCAGATTCCACTCGAGGACACCCAGGCCCGCCAGAATTCCGGGGAACACAATTGCTGTGTAGTGGAGAGCGATTGCACAGCGTCCGGGAACCAGCAGGAACACTTCAATGCTTTTGTAGGCCCTGCCGATGACCACCACAACCCTGCCCCTGGACTGCGTCAACCGCTTCAGTCTGCTGATGATGGCGTTGCGTATGCACTTTCTGTCCTTGAACTTAGCAACTACAATGTCGATGACAATGCGAATGAGAACTGGAGGTAACAAGCGCAAACAAGCCAAACAACGGGCCATTTTTCACATCATAAGAAAAGGCTGCTGGCAAACAGCTGACGATCAAATCAATCAGAAACCAATGTACATGGTGCACACGTCTTTTGATGACATTCAAAAGAGGGCAGTGTAATTGTCCTCCTAAATATTTCAATCGACTCCGTAAAGTACTCCGTGATTGTTAAAAGCTATCTAATAGGAACTAACTAAAAGTCAACAAAATGCTGTGACATGACATCAGCATCCCTAAAAAGATTGTGCCTTCAACTACACAGACATAGCCTGGGTGAACTGAGCTGCTCAACTTGCACGCATTGACTGGAGTGAGCGGGGTGTTACTCACTTTTCTTCTTTGCAACAGAGTAAGCTCTCCGCTTGGACGGGCGGAATTCGTCAAAAAAGATATTCTTCTTAATGAACCCAATGTCCTCCAAGGTTGTTTGGATGATTTCCTGAACTCCATCATCATCGCTGTCCTGCATCATTGATTTGTCAAATTCCTCATCAACATAAACTGTCACATCAGTTTCGGCTAGGGCTTCTCGGGAAGCTTCAACGAGATGTGAAGATGGGAAAGTGAACACAGCAAGAAACAGCCATATGCAATCTGCATGGAGAACGCATACACTGACACTTGCACTCCTATCCGGAAATAAAGAAGTGGGAAATTCACAATATGGACATTGCCATTTGCAACTACTTTGAATTATCAAACACGTTTCTATGGAAGTCGGACAAGCGGATATCAGTGCTTGGAAAATACTCAAAATAGCCAGGACCTTCAAACTGCTCACACATGATTTATAAGTATTATTGAGCTCTTAATTTCACCTTCTTCGATACCAGATTCTTCATTGCCATCACTGCTCGGAGGAGGTAAGAGGCCCTGCTTGGAAATATACTGGATGATGTTGCAAAGAGCCTCTGCAAACGAGAAAACAATCACCCAACGCAAGCCAAAATTCACTCTCGTCTCTCTGTCTATGTATTATTTTACTATTTACTCTGAAGTACATCTACATATCATCTTTGCCAACGGAAAGTATACGTCTCTTCTTCACCCCTCCCTCAAGTTCTCTTTATTTGACTCCATCTCTGTATGTGCTTGGCTGTCTCGATGAAAGGATTGATTTTACACATGACGGCAATCTACGAAAGGCCGGGGAAGAAACTCATCATGGCTATCTACCGTTGGTTGCCTGTTTGGCTCACTCTATCTCTCTCTATCTCTCTATCTTTCTCTCTCTCTCTCTCTCTCTCTCTCTCTCTCTCTCTCACACACACACATACACACACACACACACACACACACACATACACACACACACACACACACACACACACAGACACACACTCTCTCTCTCTCTCTCTGTTTCTTTCTCTCTGTCTCTCTGTCTCTGTCTCTGTCTCTGTCTCTGTCTCTGTCTCTCTCTCTCTCTCTCTCCGATCTCTCTCTCTCTCTCTCTCTCTCTCTCTCTCTCTCTCTCTCTCTCTCTCTCTCTCTCTCTCTCTCTCTCTCTCTCTCTCTCTCTCTCTCTGTGTCTCTTTCGCTCTCTCTCTCTCACACTCCCTCACTCTCACACTCCCTCACTCTCTCACTCACGGTCTCACTCTGTCTGTCTCTGTCTCTTTCGCTCTCTGTCTGTCTCTCTGTCTGTCTGGCTGTCTGTCTGTATGGCTGTCTGTCTGTCTCTTTCGCTCTCTGTCTCTCTGTCTGTCTCTCTCTCTCTCTCTCTCTCTCTCTCTCTCTCTCTCTCTCTCTCTCACACACACACACACACACTCCCTTACTCTCTCACTCACTCGCGCTCTCACTCTGTCTGTCTCTGACTCTCTGTCTCTCTGTCTGTCTCTCTGTCTCCCTGTCTCTCTCTCTCTCTCTCTCTCTCTCTCTCTCTCTCTCTCTCTCTCTCTCTCTCTCTCTCTCTCTCTCTCTCTCTCTCTCTGCCTCTCTCTGTCTCTGTCTCTTTCTTTCTCTCTCTCTCTCTCTCTCTCTCTCTCTCTCTCTCTCTCTCTCTCTCTCCCTCCCTCCCTCCCTCCCTCTCTCTCTGTCTAACTTTCTCTCTGTCTCGCTCTCTCTCTCTCTCTGTCTCTCTCTCTCTCTCTCTCTCTCTCTCTCTTCCTCTCTTGCATACTCAATCTAATCTGGATGCTAGTCGGTCTGGTCTGTCCAGCAAGCACTCTCCGTCGTGTTCTGTCTCACACTACCCATACTATCCTATCTCTCCGCACTACGTGTGGGTAAGAGGAGACCAGCGAAGCTTACCGATATTTTCAGCTACTCCAGTTCCGGCTTGAAGGTACTTGATTCGGCTGGCTGACGCTGCGGGAATGCTGTACCTCTCGATGTATACAGTGCGGGGATCCAGGTCTTCTCCCGGACGTCTGCTTTCTGGACAGCAACACCAATAGACACAAGTAGAACAAATATGTTGTCATCACAATGCATGCATCCCGACGGATAGCGGGTATAAGACAATACATCGTATTGCAAAGTTGTTTATTAGTTTGAGTAGCTCGCAAGATGACCTGGTCAAAGAACAAGAATAGCGAAAGCTCTGAAGCTACTAGAACTTTTACTTTCAAGTGATAAATTTGTTCAAAATGAAATGCAGCAACGCTCTCACACACACACACACACACACACACACACACACACACACACACACACACACACACACACACACACACACACACATACATGCACACACATACATGCACACACACACACACACACATACACACACACACACACACACACACACACACACACACACACACACATACATACACAAAGTGTGTATGTGGTGGTGGTGGTGGTGTGCGTGTGTGTGTGTAAGAATTTCAATACTGCCTATGAAAACGGGTGACATAATTGAGTGCCCAGTTTTTCTGTGCTTCCCGCAGTTTGAACACCCGGTCAATGCTTTGGTCCGATAAAAAAATGATTTGTTCAACATACCGGTACACATTATACACTTTCCCCATTTGTATCATTCCCTCAAACTCATGAAAACTGTTTATCTTCACCTTTAAGACGGTCTTTCACAATGCTGATCATTTGATCGTAGCGCCGGGTAAAACCCATCACCTTGACGACGTCACAGAGTTTCATATATGTTTCCATCTCTCCGGCAACAATCATATTGATCAGCTTTTGATTGTGCTGGGTCTGTCCTTCAGTCTTGTTTATTCTTGTTAGCATCCTAATGGAGTCGAGATCTAACAAGTCACACCGTTGCGCAATGTTGCGAAATCGATCCGGGTCCAAATCGTTCATCCACACCTGGACGCTACTGACGAACGTATCATTACGGAATGGATTGTCTGCGTAGAACGTGGCAATATTATGCATACACAGACACACATACACACAGAGAGACTCACACACACATGCACACAGACAGACAGACAAGCATACAAATACACACACGCGTGCGCACACACACATACACACAGACACACAAACACACACGTGTACACACACACACACATACATACACACACACACGCACACATAGTTGATCTCTCGTTGATATCAGCCATGCAAGAACTTGGTCAGGAGAGGTTAGATTGACCTGTATATGATATTATAAACACCTCAACGCCCTGCCAGTTGCAGCAAGACTATAAATAACCCTTTGTGTACGGACTGTACAACTTTCGATCCCCTGGGATCGAAACTTTTCAAAATTTCAATCGATCGGAACTCAGTCATTCCTGGGTTATTACCAAAAATTAAAATATGTACGTCGAAGAGAAAACTCTCAGCTGTCCATTAAACACCACCAAAGTTCAACACATTGCAGTAAAAGTATAGCAACAACATACCTGTGTGGGACAAAATGGAGAGCATGTCCTTGCTCCTGTCCACATACCCAAGTTCCTCAATGACAACACCGAGATCACGATAAGTCTTTAGGCCACCAGCTCTGAGCAACTGGATGAGCTCCTCATTATGAGCAGATTGTCCATCCCGGGACCGAATTCTCTTTAGTCTCTCTATTGATGCGCTGTCAGTTATGAGATGTTTCTTGATCACCATCTGTCGCAATCGATCTGCGTCAACTTCGTTCAACCATGGTTGAATGTCACACACAAACCTTACCAGGTGAAACGGATTGTCTGTTGCGAAAGCAGCAAAATACAGAAGGCACAGATGACACAAAAACACACAACTTAACACAACTACATGTCAAGAAACAAATAAAAATGGAATTGCACAACACCGATAATACATGGAAAGGAATTTGAGTGGACACACCCATTCCCATAGCGCTGCACATCCGAACAAGTTCCGTTATTTTACAACGTTTCGGCACTTGGCCATCGTCAGGTGATAAGAACAATGGACACACACACACACACACACACACACACACACTCACGCACACAGACGCACACACACACGCACACACTCACATGCGCACGCACACACACACACACACACACACACACACACACACATGCACACACACACACACACACACACACACATTCCCAGACCCGCACATCGGAGCGCTTCAGTGATTGCTTCAATGGACAGCTTGGAGTTTTCTCTTTGACCTACATATCTTAGTTTTATGAGCGTTAGCATGCTAACGCGAGTTAGCAGCCAGCCCAGCGAGCTGGCCCAACCTGCACGCATGCGTGAGTCACGTGGGCACGCGCCCTTCAAAATCCTGTACAATGTCTCTTTCATGTCATTGCTGTTTGGACTTTCGAGCGTGCAACTTGCGGAACAGGTGTTCCCGAAACAATTTCCTTCCGTTAGACTTTCAAGCTTGCATTCTCGTATCTCTACGTTTCAACTCAGACTTCAATGACGCCTGTTGGTGCCTGTTGGTGCCTGAAACAATGTCGTCGTCTACAGTGGAACGTCGACTGTGGATTTTTAGCTTGCGCCATCATCAGGTTTCCTGAAATGAAGTACCTCCACGCGATCTCAGCGACCCTTGTTTGTGCCTTGAAACAATGTCGTCGTCACCAACCGGCGTCCAGCCTCTCCGGATCGCCTCGCTCTACCTGGCTCCGCCGCCCGCCTACTGCGAACGCAGCGACGGCCGCCACGCAGCACCACCACTGCAACAGCAGGCGCGAGCCTGACGATCGTAATTCGTATCCAGAGAGGCGAGTTCGTGGACTTTGATTTTCTGTTGGAAGTAACAACGGTAGTTGTCCACTGCCGTCACCAACGCCACCCAGCTTCTCCTCGCTCTACTAAATAGTTACTTGGATCCGTATCGCCGCTCGCCGCCAGCAGGCCGGACCCTACTGGGAGCCCGGTGCAGTGACGACCGCCATATGCGCATGCAGCACCAACAGCAGGTGAACCTGACTGTCCTATAGTCCTTATGCACATTGTACAGATGTACGAAGTTCTGTACTATGGCCGTAGGTGTGTACATACCCGGTTGGGTGTTCATTGTGTGCTATACATGCGCGTTTGACCCATTTAGCCTCACAATTCATGGCAAACGATCACTTTTCAAGCCTTCTTCACTTTGGGATTGAACTAACGACTCGCTAGATCTCTGCCGGAAAAAGATTTCGTATGAAATGCCTTCATGGCCCATTTCATAGTGGAAATAGCAGTAAACACAATAGGGTCCTGCACATTCAACACCCAACCGGGTCTACGGGATTCTTCAAGATTATACGGGATTTCGTGCATCTGTACAATGTGCATAAGGCCTATACGGGCCCTTCTCGATCGTGTCCAGAGAGGCGAGTTCGTGGACTTCGATTTCCTGCTGCCCGATACAGTTGCAGTCAGTCCAGCTCCGGCGACGTTCCAACTCCGTAACCCCTCATATGTTGCTCTTTTGGCGCACTAGCATTTATTTGAATCCGAACCCAGAACTGCGCTTCGTAGGCTGCATGACGGTAGCACTTGAGTTGAGACCTGGACAGTGTTCATGAATGGTCTGTGTTCCACTGTTCCTCACCGCGTTTCACGAGTGCCTGTGGACGTATTTGGCCACGATCGTCGCGGCCAATCGCCAGTTTTTGCCACCTAGAAACTGGACGTTATCAATACTCAATCTGCGGACAACTGTTTCGTCCTTTGTGGACTCATCAGCGCAGCACAGAGGGAATTAAGCCGAACCTGTAGCAATGGAAAATAAAATAAAATAAATCTCCAAAGCCAGGTTATCAATATCAACTTGTGGCAACTGCGCCTCGCGGTGTACTGGAACAGCACGACCCGCCTGCCAGCAGTGCAGCTCAGTGCACTCGCCAGCATTTCCGTGCGCATTTCGTCCTACTCACCAGTACAGATCCGCATCACGTACCGCAACCGTATGCCGCTACTACGAGTACGGCGCTTGCACGTGTCAGCTCAGGCAGTGCTACCTCCAGTGCCGACAGGAGCACCCCAGGGCAAAGTGTAAGGCCTCATCAGTAACTGTGTAAGCACTCAGTTTCTCACTTCTCAAAATTACTGGACTCACATCCTGATCCTATGCTCCGGAGGTATGTTGCACATGGTCGTAATTGTGGGGTTGTGGTAGGTTTCATCGGCACTCAACTAACTGGGATCCATTGAATTTAACACGGTCACATGCTAACCCAGATTATATTTCTGCGCAACGATCCGTTTCTTGCAGCAGGCTTGAAACAGCTGGCCGATCCGTTTCTTGCAGCAGGCTTGAAACAGCTGGCCCGTGTTCTTCACCCCCTTTCTCGCCTCTGTGCTGTTCCGGCGTAGATGCGGTTCCTAGACGAACGGGAAGTTACACACGACACACCCTTTGTAAAGCCTGGAGGGTCGAAGTGTCAACGATTACATTCCAGCAGACCGTATCTCTCCACAATGTCAAGACGACAATGCTGCAAACATGATTAGACAATTGCTCGCCCCGCTGTATCTTGCTAAGCTCAATGTTAAAAGTGCATTCTGCCGAATTCCCGTCTGCCCGGAGGAGTGGCCCTTGTTGAACCGCTGGCAGGATCAATACTGTTATGAGAGCGTCCTGCCCTTCAGACTGTACTACGCTCCAGGCCAGCTATATGGAACTCTGTCGCATCCGCCAGTGAATGGATTGTGTGCGGGCAGTTCGCACTCCCACGCCTGTTGCATTACGGGGAATACCTCAATTAATGTTACTTCCTCAATGCATGCTCTGGACTTGTGTTACCTCGCCAGCAACTCGCTATTCTGCTCCGAGCGTTTACATACCTCGGTGTTTCTCTGGCCCCAGCAAAAGTGGAGGGTCCAGCTCAAGTCCTGACGTTATTGGCATCTTCCCATTACGGGAAATACCTCGACTAACGTTTCTGTCTCCATGCATGCTCTGGACTTGTGTTAGCTCGCCAGCAACTCGCTACTCGGCGCCGTGCGTTTACATACCTCGGTGTTTCTCTGGCGTCAGCAAAAGTGCTTCCTCGATGTATGCTCTGGACCTGTGTTAGCTCGCCAGCAACTCGCTACTCGGCGCTGTGCGTTTACATACCTCGGTGTTTCTCTGGCGTCAGCAAAAGTGGAGGGTCCAGCCCACGTCCTGACGTTTATCGGCGTCATCCTGGACACCCGCGCGCTCACATCAGTCTGCCGATGGACGAACTTGCCAAGCTTCACGACCTCCTACGGGCCACTCTCAACACAGCTTCAATTACCCAATGTCAACTCGAGTATCTTCTGGGAAAGCTCTCGTTTGCTACAAGAGTGATAGTCCCAGGACGCACATTGCAGATTGTGGTCACTTGCCAACCGGTACCGGCAGCCGTATTACCTGATCAAGCTCTCCGAAGAGTGCCTCAAATACCTTCGCTGATGGCCTGAGCTCCTGGAATAGTAGAACGGCCGGTCCTTCTTCCTACACCCTAAGTGGACGCCGTCCCCCAACTTGCTGCTATTCACTGATGCAAGTGGTGCACTTGGCTGGTGCGCAAACAATTGCAACCGGGGATAGGGCAATGGACAGTCAATCAAGCAGACCAGCCAATCGCAAAGAGTGGTTTGCAATTGTGGCAGCACCTGGGAAAGCTAGCGGCACCAGCAGCAGATGCCAATCGATCGGCTTTGCAGCAACTGCGAAAATCTTGCTCATCAGTTGTGGCTATGGCCTGGCGTTATACACCGGCCACTCGTTTCGAATCAGCTGCCGGACTCGATATTCAGAGAGGCGGGAAGGTGGAAAGCCATGTCTGCCCGAGTAACATTCAGAGGCCACCAGCAGCCAAAGCATGGGTGGCTGTGGCAATGGCCTCAGCCCATGATATCGAGTTCCTGTTAGTCAATCGTTACCGAGCTTGCACTGCTTACAAATATCACAGGTAGCTGCACTTTGTGATCCGCTCTGGGAGTGCCGATTTATGGAATATATGCTCTCAACTGGTTATGCATCTCTATATATCTAGCATTTGGCGGCTCTATTCAGAGTCATTGGCGGCTCCATGCGGAGGCATTGGCGGCTCCATGCGGAGTCATTCGGCGGCTCCATGCGGAGTAATTGGCAGCTCCATGCGGAGTAATTCGGCGGCTCCATGCGGAGTCATTCGCTGGCTCCATGCGGAGTCAATTGCCGGCTCCATGCGGAGTCATTCGCCGGCTCCATGCGGAGTCATTCGCCGGCTCCATGCGGAGTCATTTGCCGGCTCCATGCGGAGTCATTCGCCTGCTCCATGCGGAGTCATTTGCCGGCTCCATGCGGAGTCATTTGCCGGCTCCATGCGGAATCATTTGCCGGCTCCATGCGGAGTCATTCACCTGCTCCAAGCGGAGTCATTTGCTGGCTCAGCTGCGAGCCATTATACCAGTTGCTCGAATCGGCACTCCCAGCTTAATGCAAAACTCGGTTGCTCTGTTGTGAGGTGGGGGGATGCTAAATGAGCGTTAGCATGCTAACGCGAGTTAGCAGCCAGCCCAGCGAGCTGGCCCAACCTGCACGCATGCGCGAGTCACGTGGGCACGCGCCCTTCAAAATCCTGTACAATGTCTCTTTCATGTCATTGCTGTTTGGACTTTCGAGCGTGCAACTTGCGGAACAGGTGTTCCCGAAACAATTTCCTTCCCACCCTCCCACCCACTAGCTCAACTCATGTTTCTGGCGCACACATGACGGTATCTGTAGTCCATGAGAATATATGCTCTCAACTGGTTATGCATCTCTATATATCTAGCATTTGGTGGCTCTATTCAGAGTCATTGGCGGCTCCATGCGGAGGCATTGGCGGCTCCATGCGGAGTCATTCGGCGGCTCCACGCGGAGTAATTGGCAGCTCCATGCGGAGTAATTCGGCGGCTCCATGCGGAGTCATTCGCTGGCTCCATGCGGAGTCAATTGCCGGCTCCATGCGGAGTCATTCGCCGGCTCCATGCGGAGTCATTCGCCGGCTCCATGCGGAGTCATTTGCCGGCTCCATGCGGAGTCATTCGCCTGCTCCATGCGGAGTCATTTGCCGGCTCCATGCGGAGTCATTTGCCGGCTCCATGCGGAGTCATTTGCCGGCTCCATGCGGAGTCATTCGCCTGCTCCAAGCGGAGTCATTTGCTGGCTCAGCTGCGAGCCATTATACCAGTTGCTCGAATCGGCACTCCCAGCTTAATGCAAAACTCGGTTGCTCTGTTGTGAGGTGGGGGGATGCTAATGGGGTACTAGCTGTGCTAGTACTCGTTAGCAACAACCCGAACTAGCGCGCACACTGCACTGCATTACTCTCTGCTGCCTTCAAGACTGACGTCATGCGCTTTGCTTTGCTGCGTAATCACAAATGGCACTCAGCCCGTTTTGCCGAAAAGAAAACAAATCTTGCTTGCCCTGTTGTGTTCCTCCAGACAGCAGATCGTGCTTCCGCAGTGTTGCTTTTCAGCGTTCCTTTCCCTTTCATAGCTTTGCCGCCAGCCCGAGTGTCATCTCGATACTGTATTTATTCAGCATGTCCGACCTAACTGTCGACACTGTGAAGGCAATGACTTGCCAAGCTCTCCGCGGCGAGCTTTCCCAGCGAGGCCTCAACGCGAAAGGAAATAAAAGCATTCTACAAGACCGTTTGCTTGCACAGCTAGCCCTTGGAAATCAGGTCTGCTCCGGCCTGGAAAACCAGCAACACGACATTGCGGACACGGCTCGTGAGCCCAGGAGCCCGACCGGCACCAATGCCTCCTCCACCAGCTCAGGCGACGTGGGCGCAATGGATCTCCGCGCTCTTGTGCGGGACGAGGTGCAGTCGGCTTTGTCGGCCGCCATTACAGAGAGCATCGTGCCGCTCCTAACTCAAGGCCAAGGCAATACGGCTGCTGCCGCCACAACGCCAGCCCAAGGCCCAGGCTCTTGCAATCCACCCGTCCAGCCACCAGCACCAGCTGTGCCCAAGGCTGTGCAGGAGCGTATCTTGAGAGGTGAGTTTGTCGATCTGTCAAGTTTGTTGCCTGAGATTCTCGCACCCCCCATTCACACTTCCGGCCGAACATTCCGGCTGGTGCACAGCCCGAATAGCGACAGCCAACTAAACATTGTCGAGTCGGATGATGCGAAGCAGGTACGTCGCAAAGTCCACGACATAGCTACCTGGCTCGAAGCATGGACAACTTACATGTCTGTTGTCACGGCTGCTGCCCCACACCGTACTGCCGAACTGATTGCATACCAGCAGTTGATCCTGACTGCTAACCGCCAGTTTTTTCCAAGCGCGTGGCTGGAGTACGACCGCCAGCTGCGGATGCTCGCGGCCCAGCAACCGGGGACGAAGAGGTTGGACTCCATCGACGTAAACCTGTGGCAGATAGCATTCACAGGGCATGCGCGCCCAACATGCGCCCAATGTAAGACTGTTCACCCAGGGGCGGGTTTGTGTCCTTTTCGTCCCCAAGCCCATTTCCCCAAGCCAGCAGCATTTACCTCCAGTGGCCGCACCCACACCAATGACGGCCAGGAAATCTGCCGCAATTTCAACGGAGGCCGCTGCTCCTCGTCGTCGTGCCGATTCTCCCATACTTGCAGCCAGTGTGGCAAGGAGCACCCACGCACCAAGTGCAACCAGCAGCAGCGCGGAGCCAATCGGCCACCGCGCCGCTCCCAGTAGGACGGCCGCTACTGAATTGCCTGACGCTGTACATAGCTTCTTCCCCATACACTCTGCATACACCCCACTGCTAGCTGATCACTTTGCCCGCCTGTTGCGTCACCACCCAGATCAGTCCTTTGTTTCGTATGTTCTCCACGGCCTGCGCCATGGCTTTGCCCTTGGTTTTGCTGGCCAACATGACATTTCTGTTTTCTCAAATAATCTGCCCTCGGCTTACACTCACGCTGCATTTATCTCCGAGCAATTAGCTGCTTCCTGCGCACGCGGCGAGACCGCAGGCCCATTTCCCTCGCCGCCATTTCAGTTCATGCGCTGCTCTGGCATCGGCGCCGTCCCCAAAAAGAACGGCAAGCTGCGCATGATCCACCATCTGTCTAGTCCAGCAGGCGCCAGCGTGAACGACAGCATTCCCGCCGAGCCGTTCTCTCTGCACTACGTGAGCATTGACGACGCGATTAACATCATCATGTCATGCCCACAGCCTGTGTACTTGTCCAAGCTCGATGTTCGCAGTGCATTTCGGCAGATCCCCGTCCGCCATCAGGACTTTCACTTACTTGGTATTCGCTGGGAAGGCTCCTACTACTACGAGCGTGTTCTGCCTTTCGGCCTTCGCTCCAGCCCAGCCATCTTTGACTCAGTAGCCACAGCAGTCAACTGGATCATGCAGCACGAGTTTGCTATAGAACACCTGCTTCATTACCTCGATGACTTTCTCAATATCTCCACTGGTTTGGTTGCAGCCAACCAGCAACTGGCCATCCTTCTCCGGGCATTCACGTATCTCGGCATTCCCCTGGCTCCATCCAAGCTCGAAGGGCCATCACCATCATTGACCTTCCTTGGTATTGTGCTAGACTGTGAGCGCCGCGAAGCCCGGCTACCAGAGGACAAGCTCTCCGAGATCCGTACGCTACTCAGGGCCACTGTTAGCGAGCGCAGCATCGGCCAGCGTCAACTTGAGTCCCTCTTGGGGAAGCTCGCTTTTGCTGCCCGAGTCATCGTTCCGGGACGCACATTCATGCGTCGACTATGGTCCGTGTGTAGCCGATACCGGGAGCCCCATTACCGTATCAAGCTAAGCAACGAGTGCATCGACGATCTGACTTGGTGGCTGCGCCTGCTGCAGGACTGGAATGGGAAGTCCTTCTTCCTCCATCCGCAGTGGACGCCATCTCCTGACATGCAGCTATTTACCGATGCGAGCGGCTCGGTCGGCTGGGGGGCCTACAACCACGGTCGATGGATTCGTGGCACCTGGTCCGAGAAAGATGCCGAGCGCAGCATAGAGTGGAAAGAGTTGTATGCCATCTTGGTAGCGTGCAGTACCTGGGGCTACGAGTGGTCCAAGCTCCGCATCCTCTTCCACTGTGACAATTCGGCTGTTGTTGATTGCATTCGATCTGGCTGCTGCAAATCTCCTCCTGTCATGTCTTTGCTGCGCGAACTATTTTTTGTGAGTGCACGGTGCAATTTTGCTGTCTCTGCCGTTCACATTGCTGGCCATCACAATGTTATTGCTGATTGTCTGTCTCGCTCCTTCATGCAGGCATTCAGACGCCACGCCCCGAACGCCAAGGCGGCTCCGGACATTGCCCGCCTGCCTCAGCAATGCTAGCCACTGTCTGCCAATATGCTGCTTGTGCCGTGTCGAGGAACACCCGCCGCACTTACACCACCGGTGAAGACCGCTACCATGATTTCTGCCGCCTGCAACACTGGTCACCCTATCCTGCTACCGACATTATGCTGTGCTGTTTCGCGTCGTTCCTCACACGAACTGTAAGACCTGGAACTGTATCTGTCTATGTGAGTGCGGTGCGTAATGCCCATCTCGAGAACGGGTTTGCTGACCCCTTAGTAGATGCATGGCTTCTGAAGAGGGTGATGAAGGGCATCCAGCGATGCCATGGTACGGCTGTACTAACCCCTCGCCTTCCTATCACTATGCCAATCCTACGACACCTGATAGACGCATGCCGGAAAAGTAGTACCCTCAATGGCCATGACAAGCTGCTCTACCAAGCTGCCATGCTGCTAGCGTTCTTTGGATTTCTCCGGTGTGCTGAATTCACTAATGGCGTCACACGGGGCTGCATCAGCTTCCCTGGTGATGGATGCCTACAGCTCTTCCTGCGTTCGTCCAAGACGGACCCATTCGGCAAAGGCGTCACGATTGACATTGGACCATCCGTACCGCCGTACTGCCCGGTCCATGCCATGGTTAGCTACCTGTTTGCCACTCGTCGCCAAGGAACCGAGCAACGCTTGTTCATACTCTCGAACGGACAGCAGCTGACCCGACAGTCATTCACAGCAACAGTACGGTCTCTTGTTGCCACTGCCGGGGTACCATCCCAGTCGCACTACTCCGGGCACTCATTCCGCATCGGCGCAGCCACCACCGCTGCGATGGCCGGTGTCCCCGACTCCCTCATCCGAGCGGCAGGTCGATGGAAGAGTGATGCGTGTCTACGCTACATCCGGACTACAGCGAGCGCTAAACGCCAGCTATCGTCCCGGCTTGCTGCCGTGTCACGGATGCCATGATGCCTGACTCTCGTGAGTAATGAGCTACTGAACTCTAGTCGCATGATACTTGCCTGTGCTGACATCAATTGACCTTTGCTGTGCGTCAATAGTACTTAGCTAACGGGGTGCTGGTTTCATGGGTCCACTCTCACAACTGGTGTTATCTAGCTATTTGCTGCAGCTCTGCCTTGAGCTATATTACATCCATTTAGCATTGCAGCTCTACGTTGAGCTTACAGCAGCTCTACTTTGAGCTAACAGCAGCTCTACTTTGAGCTAACAGCAGCTCTACTTTGAGCTAACCGCAGCTCTACTTTGAGCTAACCGCAGCTCTACTTTGAGCTAACCGCAGCTCTACTTTGAGCTAACCGCAGCTCTACTTTGAGCTAACAGCAGCTCTACTTTGAGCTAACAGCAGCTCTACCTTGAGCTAACCGCAGCTCTACTTTGAGCTAACAGCAGCTCTACTTTGAGCTAACAGCAGCTCTACCTTGAGCTAACCGCAGCTCTACCTTGAGCTAACCGCAGCTCTACTTTGAGCTAACAGCAGCTCTACTTTGAGCTTCAAACCAGTTGTTTCGAAACCAGCACCCCTCAATCCAAAGATGCCGCTTTGTTGACTTGTTGTGTGAGGGACGGGGGCTAATGGGGTACTAGCTGTGCTAGTACTCGTTAGCAACAACCCGAACTAGCGCGCACACTGCACTGCATTACTCTCTGCTGCCTTCAAGACTGACGTCATGCGCTTTGCTTTGCTGCGTAATCACAAATGGCACTCAGCCCGTTTTGCCGAAAAGAAAACAAATCTTGCTTGCCCTGTTGTGTTCCTCCAGACAGCAGATCGTGCTTCCGCAGTGTTGCTTTTCCCACCATCCCTCCCTATCCAACTTATTCACACAATCATTATGATTATCGTACCCACTGATCGGGTCCACTCTCACAACTGGTGTTATCTAGCTATTTGCTGCAGCTCTGCCTTGAGCTATATTACATCCATTTAGCATTGCAGCTCTACGTTGAGCTTACAGCAGCTCTACTTTGAGCTAACAGCAGCTCTACTTTGAGCTAACAGCAGCTCTACTTTGAGCTAACCGCAGCTCTACTTTGAGCTAACCGCAGCTCTACTTTGAGCTAACCGCAGCTCTACTTTGAGCTAACCGCAGCTCTACTTTGAGCTAACAGCAGCTCTACTTTGAGCTAACAGCAGCTCTACCTTGAGCTAACCGCAGCTCTACTTTGAGCTAACAGCAGCTCTACTTTGAGCTAACAGCAGCTCTACCTTGAGCTAACCGCAGCTCTACCTTGAGCTAACCGCAGCTCTACTTTGAGCTAACAGCAGCTCTACTTTGAGCTTCAAACCAGTTGTTTCGAAACCAGCACCCCTCAATCCAAAGATGCCGCTTTGTTGACTTGTTGTGTGAGGGACGGGGGCTAATGAAAAACAACCCCGGAACGACTGAGTTACAATCGATTGAAATCTTGAAAGGTTTCGATTCCAGGGGATCGAAAGTTGTACAGTCCGTACACAAAGGGATAAAATAGTAAATTATAAGCTCCGGAGCTCCCAAGAGTGTGCAACTCTGCATATGGGATGTCCGACGGTGAAAACTCACATCAGTTTCTCAGGTACGTTTTGTACTACGAACAGATGGAGGATAGCGTGCGCGCAATCCGAATATCTGCTATGATCATGCTCGGGATTCACATACGCGCAGTGAGGTTCTGTCAGAGAATGTTTTTCATTACTCCGCTGCTCGCGAAAAACGGGCTGGAAACGTATAACTGCGACACTGCGACGCGCGATGTGAGTTTTCGCCGTCGGCGAACCACATAGAAAGGATATCAGCAGCTGCACACTCTTGGGGGCTTATACACTCTTGGTTTCAGCTGTGAGTGTCCTTCAACAAATCTATCACATCATGCAGGTGGCATAGGGAATAGTAACCGAGACGTCATGTCGCCTGCATGCACTATGTCTCACCCCCTATTGCTTCAAAATTCTAACCAAAATTTGAGCCCATGAGCACTTGAAGAAAGATCATACCATGGGAAAGCATAATTCAGTCTCTGCCCTATTTTCTCAAAACCCAGTACAGGTGGAACCCCCCCCCCCCCCCCCCCCCAGGAAAATACTTTTAATTATTCGGACATTCTGATTATCCAAACATGAACCCACAAGACAATAAGTATGTCAAAACGCTCTCATGGTCGCGCAAAGTTGCGCTATGGACCTTAGACACAGATTTCACGGATACTGAACTGACCGGCACAGCCTGCTCATGCAAACTGAACTGACCAGTACAGTGTACAGTGAACTTCGAATTACACTTTGCTAACTTCGAATTATCAGCACAAATCCAATATATTTCCTATGTAAGTGGAATCCGTGGGACTTCTAATGAACCGGACGTGTCCAGTTCGAGGTTCAAATTATCAGAAATTTTATGTGGGAATCGTAATGATAGAAATCGGTCCTGGAAAACTTCTAATAATTAAGCCATATTCGAATTATCAGGATTCCACCTGTACATGTGTTACACTGCGTAAGGACGCTGACAGAGTGTACAAGAGACAATCACTATGGCGTACAGACTTCACCGTAATCTGAAGAAAGGCAGAGGCTTCCTGGAGCTTCATCTCTGAAATACGGCATTCATTGTTGCAAGTGCCGAAAAAACGTCGTGATATAACGGAACTGGTTCGGATGTCCAGCGCTACGGTAATGGGTGTGTGCACCCGAATTCCTTATTTGTGGATAGTTTAAAAGCGCACTGATAGAGCTTAGCTATCGTTACGGTGTTGCGACACACACTCACCATCCATATTTGGGATAAGAACAACAATGTCCCCGATCACTGTCAACAGTATCACCGAGCACTGCAGCGAGGGTAGTTCCGGCTGATGCCGATGTCCCACCTGACACACATCAGTGGCCACCAGGACTCTAGCAGAGCACAATCTTGCTATCCTGATGCACACAACAGCACCATCACACACACACACACACACACACACACACACACACACACACACACACACACACACACACACACACACACACACACACACACACACACAAACACACACACACACACATGTTCAGTCCAGTGCTAACAGGTTTGGGGTTGCTCGATGCAATGCACAAGTACGCAGCCCAGTGTCTGCAGAGTGCAGGTCTGGGGTTGCACAGCACTATGAACCAGCAGCGCACAGCCCATTTACAGCATGAACGAATTATTAATGTTGTATTTCTCTATCTTAAAGTCAGTACTCCAAGTAAGGGTACTGTAAAAGCCATATATATATATAACGAAGTGCTAACTCTAACGAGTTAGCGAGGAAAAATCTGTCATTAAAATAGAAATCGTTATACAGAAATCGATACATATACTGTCCTATTGAGCGTTGAGAATGAGTGAGAATCGTTACATTTGGTACACGTAAACTAGTCAATTTTGGGATATCGTTATATTTGCGCCTCGTTAGAACGAGAGAGCTTGGAAGCTCAGGGCCCTAAGCTATGCTTTTTTGCCTTGATGACCTAGACAAAAAAAGCTTAGGGATGTTATAAATTCTTTAAAATCTTTTTTTAAGACATAACCTGGGATTCGAACCCGCACTATCGCGCGCCCTGCATGCATCCCCCGATACACTTCGCATACATACTAGGTTATTCTTCCAAGTTGCTTCACGTTATGATCTTGCATTTGAAAGCCCTATTTGAATATGCATTGTGGCCAGCCGTCTTTGATGGTACGGTACGATAGGGGATAGGTACGGGACAGGTACGATCGAGGGTAATACGACACCGTCTTGATGACGGCAAAAAAAGCATAGGGATGTCATAATTTTTTCAATTCTCCTTTTTTTAGGCATATCCTGGGATTCGAACCCGCACTATCGCCCTACATGCATTCCCCCATACACTTCGCATTCATACCCATTCTTCCAAGTTGCTTCACGTTATGATCATGCGTTTGAAAGCCCTATTTGAATATTGCGGCCAGCTGTGTTTGATGGTGCGGTACGGTACGGGACAGATACGGGATAGCGCCAGGTGTGACACAAACACACAAACAAACAAACAAACACACAAATACCAAATTAAAGCTGTGTGGACCCTGGCTAGCGCCAGACGTTACTGAAGTAACGTCTTCTGCATAGCTACGGGAATAATGGCTTTTACAGTAACATGAATGCAACTAACGTGTCCCCCCTCCCCACACCACATAAATTGAGTTGAGGCCAACCATTACGCTCTTCTTACCTGTAAAGGGGACATATTCAGTGAACAGGCTGGATTCCCGCCAGGCCCAGACTCCATACCAATATTTTAGGAAGCAATTCAAAGTCGGGTACCCGTGCTACCCGTGAGGACCTCGGGTAGTCGGGTACCGAATAGTACCCGAAAACCCGAGGTCACAGATGACATCATGTACAGTGCACGTGTACAAATAATTCACGCATGTCTACCCAATGCGCAAGGGAAGGGGCCGGTGTGCATTGTGGTCTTACCATGGAAACATTACCCGACCGGGTACCCGTGCTACCTGTGGAAAACTACCCGGACCCGATACCCGAAGAAAATGCTACCCGACTCAGCCCTAGAAAAAAACTACGCTAGTAGACCTACGGGATTCAGCGCAGAGCAAAACATAATGAGTCATGATACACTGCATGCATGCAGTGTAGCCGTGAACACTGCGCTGGTGAACAAAGAATGCAGCAGCTTGGCAGCACGTGACCCGTCGTACCGCAGTACGCGACGCCGTCGCGGCTTTGAAATGACAGGAAACACTGCGAGAAAAGGCAAAACGAAAATACGTGTCCCTTTCTCACAACTTCGAAGAAACAAACAAGATGCGACCAAGAATCATTTTGAGAGTCAACGTCAATACTCTTGTGCAGTTGTTCAAAATTCTTGTCTTGCATTGTGCAACGCAAGAAACAAACAACCCACGAAATGACTCGTGAACTAACTGTAGGCTAAATCACTACATGTACGTGAAATTGCGTTCCAAAATAAACTGAACTTTCTGAGACATTTCATATTTCACATCCTGAGAGAAATATTGAATAAATAGTAAATACATCATAAAAAAAACACATGGCCACGACGGCCTTCCCAACAATACTTTTATACTGTGATTTCTGAAGCAATGGGCTATTTGGGCCAAATTTTCCTAAAAAAATTCACGGGGGGGGGGGTGGCCCCCAGGAACCCCCCTCACCCGCATTTTTATGGTCGCACCAATGATTATGTAGAAGACCTTCCTACCCTGTAATATCACTACAGCCGTTAGTAAGACTGTAATGCACTAGACTGTGCTCGGTCGAAGTGGCCTACCTTTCGAGGAAATACGCCCGCTCCTTTACGATACGTCGATACGTCCTGGTCACAGTGGCTGGCTCCGAGTCCGAGTGCCTGGGACTCGGAGGTACTACTACTAGTACTACTACTAGACTGCTGCTAGTGCTAGTATCCGAGATGATGTATCGGACAACTAATATGGACCGGTTGATGCCTGATGGGACTGCTAGCCTAGAGTACTGGATCGAAGTCGACCAGACACTACTCAGAGTACTCTGCAGATCGCGGACCGCATACTCAGACTGCGACCTATGTACATCCAGCTGGCCGCACCGTCGTCAAGCGGCGCGGTATAGTCTAGAACTCCTTCTTCATATCATGCGTGTCCGCCATTCTACCAAGGGAAAGTTGTCTACTCCTTCTTCCGTTGATAAAGCTGAGGCTTGTGCCTTCAGACGTGTACAATGATAATGTACCACGGTAGTTGGGCAAGCTCTTACTAACTGTTATTATTATTATTATTTCACCGTCCAATGGCAGAAGCCAATGCAAAGGAGGGGGCGTTAGCCAGCCACGGCAAGAGAAGAAAAAAAATGAAGGATCTTAGATGATAATCGGAAGAAAATAATGCATCAGTGGGGTGAAATGTATCACTATGTTGACCATGCATGGTGGAGAGCGGCGAGATAAGCTAGCAAAAGAGGCGAGCGAGCCTACAAGTACAACGATTACGTGGCATTGCCATTGACATGGTCTATGAACCAGATGAACTATTAGTATTACTTGTTACTTTTTTTTAAAGTACACTGAAACATCCCTCAGACCGGGGGTCACCCTGACAACAGTGGCGATAGCAATAACATGTTTGTATAAGGCCCAAACAAATAATGACCTTGTTTCCGGTCAGCCGACCGGGCCACTTTTTCCCAAATTCTGAAACTTTTTTTGGTCCCAAATGTATACAAACGGTGGCAATGCCATGTGTGCAAGTGCACTCAACGAGTCATAACTCAGTCAAATCTCAACCGAATTCCACAATCGAAACACCTAGAAGGTAGCAGAGATTCTCAGCTGTCGGCTCGAAACCCTCCGGGGTCGATACGAGCTAGAAGAACGGAGCTGGAAGGACTCGAACTGTTTGCTTGATTTCTCAGGATGTACGAAAACAGGAATACACCACATGCTGTACAAGAACAGTGAGTCAGTCAACTCTGACATTGATCCTTGCCATGATATATGTACAATGCACATGTGTAGGTGCTCTTGTCCATCAATACCACAATGATTGAGGAACCAAAAAAAAGTATCCAAAAAAAGTTTCATTCCGGCCGACCGAGTCTCCTTTTCGAGGGGTTGCCGACCGGAAACAAGCCTTTTGTTTTGGCCTAATTATAATATGTACATGTACCGACATTCCGTCAGCTCAGTAACCATGGTAACTTAGCTCCCCAGGGCCTAGGGCGGCAGTAGGGCACAGTCCGGACACAGCCACACATAGGTAGGCCTCCGCGGAATATGCTCGTATTTTTACCGATAATTCCTTTGAGCATTGCTCAAAATTACGTCCGATAATTCCCGTAATTCCACCAATAATTCTCACAATAATGCTTTTTTTCTTCCCTTTTTTGCAGATACCGTACTGCTCACGGGTTTTTTTGCCACTTGTACGGGCAAAAAAATCACGGTTCGCGTGAAACTCGGCTGGAAGCTTTTTTTTCTTTCTCTTTTGAAATACTGGCGATCAACTCATTCAGGATCACAAGCTTTTTGGTACAAATCAGGGTGTTAAAATGGAAAAAAATTAAAAAAGGGGGGGGCATTGCTCAAATTTTACCGATTATTCCACAAAAATTGCCAATAATTCCCGTTTTAAAAATCACACCGATAATTCCCGAAATTATGCCGGCATATTCCGCGGAGGCATACACATAGGCCCCCGTGTAATATGCCGGCATATTTTTGAGCATTTTCGGTACAATCCGCGAACCCAGCACTTTGCAATTATTTGGGCTCGTGATGCAGCATTTTGGGGAAACGGAGCACTTGGCCGTTGTGTATCAAAATTGAGAGAAGAAAAACTTCCCAAACAAGAACGTCACTTCCGAATTCCGTGGGTTAGCTTCTTGTTGAGTAGTTTATGTTGCATGGCAGACTCGAGCAAATCTCTTATTGTCAATAATTGAGTATTTTCTGACTCCCTGGTTTTGACGGCGTGTGCTGAGGATTACAAAAAAGTGAGCATTTTCCGAGCATTTTCGGCAAGGTTTGGGAGCATTTTCGGCAAGGTTTACGAGAATTTCCCAAAAGCATTTTCGGAAAAGTTTCGGGCATATTTACCGGGGCCTAGCCACACAGGGGCCTTCGGCCTTCGGCTTCGGCTTCTTTTGCGTAGGTCGACTTGAATGGCCAGCGTGACCAGCAGTTAGAGTGTCCAGGTGTCGGCTGAGCTGAGAACTGATAATTATGGGGAACCTGGGCAGTCGAATCTCCGGTGGCGACGTCACTGCCTCGGCACGGCGCGAGGAAACCGGCCGCTGGCTCTGCGTCGACATCGACTCTGCTCCGTCGCGGAGCGGCACCAGTACCAGCTCCAGGCGTATGAATGGAAGTAGCTGCCGCGGCACGGGCCCGAGAAAGCTCGAGTACGACCCGTCTCAGAGCAGGGCTGTTCTGTGTGCAGTCAACAAGTTCCAGACGGAGGCGTTCGTGGACTCGGAAATTTCTGTACCAGTCGGAAGACAGTGTAAGTAGCGACGGTAGTGAAGCAATGAGCCCATTTACCTGATATCCCTATGTACCCATGTATGTCCCCATACCATGCAGATCTACATACACACATGGAGACACCGATGCGGTGGGGTTTCAATCCTTCCATCTAGATCAAGTTCATGATGAAGAAATCTTGACAATTTTTCCAGCACACGATCGCTGTACATGTATACAAAGTTTAGGAATGGCACACTGGATAGCTGACGTGCTACAAGTATTGCGATTACTTTGCACAAGGCAAAACACCATTCGTACAAACATCCTGGCATCTGTCCGTTTGTAACCCAGTAAAATGATAATACAAGCGATACATGCGATATAGCCAGCTGTAAACCAGACGTGCACTGTGTGGGACGGCATATGTCCTGTGGCGTACGCTGGGCGTGTGCGTGTGCACATGCGTGTATGGTGTGTGTGTGTGTGTGTATGTGTGTGTGTGCGTGCGTGCGTGCGTGTGTGTGTGTGGTGTGTGTGTGTGTGTGTGTGTGTGTGTGTGTGTGTGTGTGTGTGTGTGTGTGTGTGTGTGTGTCTAAGCATCCACACATGTGTTAGTGAATGCATGTGTTGGAGATCTAACGATAACAAGATGCACGCATTCGTACTCTGATTAAACGGTTCCTGTGCTACTCCAATACGAGCTATCTATAACCACCATACCAGCATGTTTATGCATACCTGGTATGCATATTCATGCTTTCTGCTGATTCTGCTTTTTGTTCAATCATCAGCTCAGGTAGTCTGGGCTCTCAGTACTAATGAAGCCTGATGTACTGTAAAAGCCATTATTCTAACGAGGCGCACATATAACGATTTCCAAAATTGACTAGTTTACGTGTACCAAAGGTAACGATTCTCACTCATTCTCAACTCTCAATAGGACAGTATATGTATCGATTTCTGTATAACGATTTCTATTTTAACGACAGATTTCTCCTCGTTAATTCGTTAGAGTTAGCACTTCGTTATATATATGGCTTTTACAGTACTGTAATTGATCAGCTGTGCAAAGGTTGGATGCCTAATGTACTGTAATTGATCAGCTGTGCAAAGGTTGGATGCCTAATGTACTGTAATTCTGTACAGTTATAGTAGGTCCATGTGAGGTGATGATGCTCCGCTTATCCATTACCATTTTCATGCAGATTCCGATGCTCAGCGGTTTTCACTCTGTCTTCAAGGTGGCGAGGAGAGCAGAGGCGGACTGAACTCGCAGGACATTGCTGTTCTGGACGATGGTGAGAGCCGCAACGAATCAGGACAAATTTGCTTTTAGGTTTGCTGAAATCTGGCTGTTCATTTCGTAGCAATGCCTACAGCACTGGGAGGTGACTGGCCTGTTAGATTTCTCATGTCTTTACGGTTATCTTGGGTAAAGACAGGGTTCAACATTTTAAATGCCATGAGAACAGTATGCAGGAAATCCATTGATAGATGCAGAGTGCCGGGTTCTGTACTCTTGCGTTCAAGGAAGATGGCGAGGAGAGAGAGGGGGAGAGGGGGGCTGGATGTTGGACCTATATCATACAAAACAAGGTGGAATGAACTACGCCATACACAATCAACGTACACCATCATTGAATCATTGCATACATGATATATCACACACTCAGGCACACACACACACACACACACACACACACACACACACACAGAGCTAAACACGCTGCCATCGTGTAACCAATTGGGCCCGAGCCCGGGACTGACTGACTCCCAAGGCTGGTTTGAGGTGCCATTTGATATGTGCAAACAGATCTTGATTGGACCTAGATATCTGCATAGATATAAACGTATGCACAGTAGCAGTCATGTGGGCCTGGTCCTCCACAATACGATGTCGGATGACTGCAGTACACCAAGTCATGAACCTATGCTGGATGCTGTACAAGCCTGAGCGTGCATATACAGCCAACTTCGCTTATAGCGACACTCGCCAGCGGGGCATCAGAAAAGTGTCGTTATTCGTGAAGTGTCGTTATACCCGAAGTCTCATTATAATGGATTACAGTTAGATGGGACTTTGCTCTGGGCATGGAAATTCTGTCGTTATTGCCGAATTGTCGTTATATCCGCAGTCGTTATTAGCAAAGTTGACTGTAGTGCCCATTTTGTCCACGATGACCAATGGATTATGCTCTTACCCTGTGGCTGTAGATGCTGACGGTCCACTGGGCTACACTCCAACCAAGGAGAACATTACAGATCTCCTAAAAGAGCAGGCTAGAGGCGTTGGGAAGGATGGAATGCTCTTGTTCTACTTTAGTGGCCATGCCAGGAGGACCAAGGAAGGGAAAGTCTTGTAAGCATCTGTTGTCGCTGGTGTTTGAATGTATGGTGGTGTCCCATCTTGGTAGAACTCTTTCTGGCTGTTCACAGACTTGTCAATATCTGGAAGGCAGATCTACCTCACACGAAAAGCACAGTCCTTGGGGCATAGCAGAAGCTCAGAGCTTTGAAGAAAAGTGTAAAGTCTCGTATCATACATAGACACAGGTCCCAGACATATCTAACAAATGCACCATGAATGGATACCCTGGCCAGCAAGGCTGGGGAGACAAGACATTTTCCATCCACTGAGGAATATTATAAAGCGATAAACTTTCACGGCAGGATAATTTTGCGTTTTCATCAATTGGGCTGGTTCACGATGAGAAACTTACCGGTTTGCGATTGTCTCTTCAGTTGTCTACAATCATGTACGGAGCAGTTTGTGGTAATTTATAATCGGAGATGTGTGATGGTCGCGAGAATAGCGAAATTTAATCTCTATAGCGAAAGTTTCTCACTTTACAGTACTGTAGACCAGGATGTGCCGAAGTGGTTCAAGCAGTGGCCACACCACTTTGTGTGCAGTGAGGTTACTCTGTGCAGGTTCAAGCCGTGGCCACACCACTTTGTGTGCAGTGAGGTTACTCTGTGCAGGTTCAAGCAGTGGCCACACCACTTTGTGTGCAGTGAGGTTACTCTGTGCAGGTTCAAGCCGTGGCCACACCACTTTGTGTGCAGTGAGGTTACTCTGTGCAGGTTCAAGCAGTGGCCACACCACTTTGTGTGCAGTGAGGTTACTCTGTGCAGGTTCAAGCCGTGGCCACACCACTTTGTGTGCAGTGAGGTTACTCTGTGCAGGTTCAAGCAGTGGCCACACCACTTTGTGTGCAGTGAGGTTACTCTGTGCAGGTTCAAGCAGTGGCCACACCACTTTGTGTGCAGTGAGGTTACTCTGTGCAGGTTCAAGCCGTGGCCACACCACTTTGTGTGCAGTGAGGTTACTCTGTGCAGGTTCAAGCAGTGGCCACACCACTTTGTGTGCAGTGAGGTTACTCTGTGCAGGTTCAAGCCGTGGCCACACCACTTTGTGTGCAGTGAGGTTACTCTGTGCAGGTTCAAGCAGTGGCCACACCACTTTGTGTGCAGTGAGGTTACTCTGTGCAGGTTCAAGCAGTGGCCACACCACTTTGTGTGCAGTGAGGTTACTCTGTGCAGGTTCAAGCCGTGGCCACACCACTTTGTGTGCAGTGAGGTTACTCTGTGCAGGTTCAAGCAGTGGCCACACCACTTTGTGTGCAGTGAGGTTACTCTTTGCAAGTTCAAGCAGTGGCCACACCACTTTGTGTGCAGTGAGGTTACTCTGTGCAGGTTCAAGCAGTGGCCACACCACTTTGTGTGCAGTGAGGTTACTCTTTGCAAGTTCAAGCAGTGGCCACACCACTTTGTGTGCAGTGAGGTTACTCTGTGCAACACGAGCAAGCAATACAGGACACTGGTCCCAATCTACACTCTGGGTGTTCCGACGTGGTGATGGTCGCCATCTCCACTGCAGGGAAGAGAAATAACAATATTGTGGTGTTCATTGTGCACTTTTTATTTTCGTGTGCAGTTTGCTACCCACAGACTATGATGGTATCATCGCCCACGGCATTCGAAGCGAAGACATCAGCTCTGCCCTCTCGGCATCAACTGCGCGGCACGTGGTGTTGGTGTTTGATTGCTGCGAGTCTGACGGTTTGGCGCACGAGTTGATCGACTTTGACAGCGCTAACAGCATACAGTGCGGGTCAGCCGTTTATGCGGTCGTCACCTGCAGTGGCCGGGAAACAGCTCTCTTTCATCACCAGGTATGTTGATGAAAGGGGTACATGCACATGTATGCATGTACTGGTCTGCTGCAGAACCTTAGTACAGCCACCCATGTACTGGTCTGCTGCAGAACCTTAGTACAGTCACCCATGTACTGGTCTGCTGCAGAACCTTAGAACAGTCACCCATGTACTGGTCTGCTGCAGAACCTTAGAACAGTCACCCATGTACTGGTCTGCTGCAGAACCTTAGTACAGTCACCCCTCTTTAATCCAGCACTTTATACACCAGCGCCCTTTATAAACCAGCACACTTTCCATTAGCCGAAATGTCCTCTTCATGAACATTACAGCAATAAATCAGATTTTTGCTAACACAGCACCCTCTCTAATCCAGCACCCTTCCTAATCCAGCACCCTCTCTAATCCAGCAGAATTTCCGGAGCACAAAATGGTGCTGGGTTATAAAGGGACCTCTGTATACTGTTTGGCGATGTGATGTGTTTCTGAAACCCGATGAAGTGAAGCATTACGAAGACTATCTCACTCTATCTGTATTGACCCGATTGAAAACAGACTCCGAGCTTTGCAGTTTGCATGATTGAACTATGCAACTGTATCTCCTTATCTTATGAGCTGCCCACCACATGGCAAGACTTGGCCATGCTGCACACCACACAGCAAGACTTGGCCATGTTGCACACCACACACGGCAAGACTTGGCCATGTTGCACACCACACAGCAAGACTTGGCCATGCTGCACACCACACAGCAAGACTTGGCCATGCTGCACACCACACAGCAAGACTTGGCCATGCTGCACAACTCACAAGCACATGCACTAGTATATGATGCAGAAAGTAAACAATGTAGTGTGTTTCCAATATGCTGCATGCAGATCGGGGGTGGCGTCTTCTCGTATTTCCTGATCGACCACATGAACCGTACCTGGCAGGACGATGCGACACGCTTGGACCTGGTGCAGAGCGTACAGTTCTGTCAGCCGCTGTACAATGCCCTATCCTGGCTGGCCGAGTACGCACACACATCTGCCGACTCCCAGTCACTGGCGGCCACTACTGGCACTAGTGGACCTCAGCTTGTGACGTCGGGCATGGAAATGCACACGCTGTATTTACACGACGACTCACCTGATGGTAGCAAAGGACAAACTCCGCCGCCGCTCATGTTCACGCTGCTCAGTCATCACTACGCCAGGACGGATTCGGCTCAGCCAGACCAAATGGTGCTGCACCCGCCCACACAACTGCGCAAGTGGCTGAGGGACGTGGTGGGGACGTGCCTTGCCCAGCTTGAGTGCAACGGCTTCGTCTCGTCCAGTCGACATCCGACCTTGTTCAACGCTCTTGTTGCCATGGTATCGTCATCCGCAGCTGAGATTGTCATAGCGCACGCAAAGTAAGAACTGGCGAGCACTGTGTTCAAGCGCACTATATGATCAAAGAATCATAGGTTGTATACTGCAAGTCCCCACTCTTTGCATACAAAATTAATGTAATAGTCCAATTGAAGTTGATAATCCTCCTTGAATGATTGGTCATCAGATTCATCTGACTTTCATCATATAGACGATGGATAAAATTAAGATCTCGTGGAAACAGAACGATTTCTCAGTCTCTACTTGAGCTTCATGCCGAGGCGATCATGAAAAACTGAGGCAATTCAATGTATGTATGTGTGTGTGTGTGTGTGTGTGTGTGTGTGTGTGTGTGTGTGTGTGTGTGTGTGTGTGTGTGTGTGTGTGTGTGTGCGTGCGTGCGTGTATGTGTGTCTGTGTGTGTGCCTGTCTGTGTTTGTGTCTGCATGTCTGTATGTGTCTGCCTGTTTGTGTATTTACTATGTGTGCATGATTCCAAGTCTGTATACGCATCACTGGCGTAACTTTGCAATTACTCTTGCAGTGTCACTACTAGTGTGCAGTGTATCTGCAGGCTCTACACCATTGCACTGCACTGCACTGCATTGGTGTAGGACAGTCGTGCATTGTTCCTTTCTTTTCATTGTTTTGCTGCCGGCCGGTGTGTCCGTGACGTATCACAGGGAGAAGTGCATGGATCCCAACCTGTTCATCCACTGCATCTTGCCAGTGATTGACACGTTCTACATCCTGAAGGATCGACTTGTGGACGAGTGGACCCTAGAGCACGTTGTCTTGTCCCTGCACTACTACATGGCCACAATCAAGGAGTACCGCGAGTAAGTGGTCTCCTGTATGTTTTGAAACTTTTGTCTGTGCCACTAAAGTCGGATGAATGAAAGACACAAGGCAATGACAGTCATTTTTCAGAATTTTCCCATATCATTCCGTTAAACTGATGAATGTCAACATTTTACTTTCCCCTTGGTGTTGATTGTGCCATTGTATTACTTCTGGCAGGCCTCAAGTCAAAGTGGAGGAGATGGGTGCCCTAACTGAGCTGATGTTACGCTTACAGCTTACGGATACCATTGACGGAAAGGTTAGGAAAGTAAACCCACAATCTGTCAGTGTTAGTTAGTATCACCGATTTGTGAGTGTTTTTTCTTTTTTGTTTCTACAAATAGCCACACACCACTGATTTGATGGCCGGTGACAATGCAGCAATGCAGCGATGAGACATATGGAATGTCAGGAGTGGGGGAGAGGCAGGGGCAGCTTTGCTGACCATAGGGTCTCGGCTGCATTGCACACTGAGCGCTGCGCAGAAACAAAATTACAGAAACTGTTGATGTACATCTGGCATCAAGAGTCCTGAGCCCCCCCCCCCCCTCTCCCAATGCATGCAATCTGATCTCAGAGCAGTGGGTGCTGTGCGCGGTCTGCTGTCTTCATTGTGCGCGTTCTATGTCACATGGGCCCATTTGCAACCAGCGGTCCACCTGCCTTCAAACTCTGCCACGGTGCCCTGTGAATTGGTGTGCTGTACTGCGGTCTATCACCTTGCATGGGCATGTGGAGTGTGTGCTAATTGATAACACTGCATTACTTTGTCAAATTGAGAATTAACCAGTGTGGGGAGCAACCAACTTCTTTATCAGATCGACGGTTCCTTGAAAAACATCCACGGTTTGCGTGAGACTCGCGACGCCGAGTTTTCCGCATCCGCAGGAATGCCACCACCCTCTTGGATGAAGGTGAGGATGCAGCTCCCAAAGCGGTGGGAGGTGAATAGATCAGACCCACCACAAAGTGGTTAAAAACCGAAAATCCCATTCACTGCATCCATGTTTCCCTCGTGCCAGGCCACGAGTTCCCAATTAACTGTGGGTCGCAGCACGGCTTAAAAAAATCCGCTTCCTAGCAGGACTTGAACCTGTTACACTCTGTTTCTCAATCATGGTCTTAGACCATCCCACTATGCCCACCTGCAGATTGTACCTTGTTGCCGCTAAAATTCGTTAGTCCGGCCGCGTCTGTTGATCTAGGGTGTATTGTTCCTACCACGATGTGCTTTGCAGGTGCGGCAAGAAAAGAGACTATCGCCACAAGATGTGTTTGACCAGCTACCGAACTGCGCTCTTGCCAGGTTCCCTTCATGACTTTTGAAAGCAATCAGACGGAAGAAGATGGATCCCATGAATAGGTTTCCCAGTTTTCTCGGAGTGTCGCGGGTCTTTGTTTCGTTCGGCAATGCAAGGCTCCTGAAACCATTGACAGGCCATGTGGGTGCGTGGTGAAGCCGTTTTAAGCGCACAGGAAACATGAACAATCCTGATGAATGTTTGTACGTTCCATGCATCATAGTTTCAACCGATGTCGACACATGTGTTTTAAGTGAATTTGTGCTGTACAAGGCCTATGGACCAAGTTAGACTTTTGCAGTTCTCTTGCCTGCCTACAAACTTCAATATTTTTAGAGCAGGGTGCTGAATGATTCACTAGCGTTGCTGCTAGCGGCCAGAGCACGTTAATTTTGTAGCACTTAGAAAAGGTAGCCAGCCGGACATGGGGTACCATTGGAGGACACAATCTGTGTCCGTGAATATCCTGATAAAAGGAAAGCCTTTTGCCAAATAACCAATTCTCGTCCTGGAAGTACAAAGTTCTTCTTTCCCTGCACAACTGGAATATGTTCAATCTAGCCATCATTATACTACTCTAGCATAATATTACTGTATACCTCAAGCATAACTGTATTACATAAATGTACTCAAAACCATGTTAGCCCACATCCCACATGCAGATGCTACACCGCTATGAAATACACCAACACACAGGGCACGGAGTTTGGAGTTATACGGGTGCTGGCTGCGAGTGAGGCAA